CTAGAGTTTATGGTTGTTGCTAAAACCTCCCAAGGAATTTGGTGATTACAATCACCTCCCACGGACTTGATGACATAATTGCAATTAAGTAGACCCCCTTTGGTAGAATCTTCTAAAAAGAGGCATAGAAATGTCTAAAATACACATGCAGTTGTTTTTGACAAAAAAAAATTCATTTTTTCAAACATTTTCTCTTCATATGAATCACCACTCCACCCCCCTCCAATCTCTCTCTCTCTCTCCCTCTCTCTCTCTCTCCCTCAAATTGATTTATTTTTCAAATTTGCTCATTATATCAATCACCGTAAGGGTTGCAACATTAAATTATCTTTGTTTTATCGTTCATATGGTTTATATTGTTTTTTGGTAGAAATCAACCTCGGTAGTAATTACATGAATATTTTGGGCATTTTCATGCCCTTTTTTAGGAGATTAGGGGGGGTCTATTTACAACTGAATCATGAAGTTCAGGGAAGGTGGTAAAGTTACAATTACTAAACTTTAGGGGAAGTTTCAACAATAGCCAAAAACTTCATGAGAGATTTTAGCAATTTACCAAAATGTTTTTATTTATTTTTTGTTTTTTTTGGTAGGAAGAGAACTTCAATCAAGACAAGCCAGAAAACAGGAATGCAACTGAGGAAAAACTGAGAAACTAAAACAAGACTACCCTAACAGGAAAAAAAAAGCCAAAAACAAGAAACAACTAAACAAAAAGTCTAATGAGGAGGGGAGATCTGCCTTTAACAGAGACAACAACCACCCTAGAAGTCCTGATGAGCAAAGACTAGCCAAAAAGAAACATTTATCGGCCAAAGCATGGGTAGCAACATTTACATTTATTCCAGGCAAAAATCTTATTGCAAACTCCGACGCTGGTCGAACACAGTCTAAGATAAATTTGACCCATGGTTTTCAAAATCGGACCTGACCGGACGATCGGACCGGAAAATCGGGAATCGGTCACATGACCGATTCCGTTTTTCCCCAAAACTGTTGATTTTGGTGAGAAAACCGCTGAACTAGCCGGTTAACTGTTCGACCCAGTAACCGGACCCCTGACCGGTTCAGTTTTAAAAACCATAAATTGACCAAAATTTAAGGACTTAGCCAAAAAGAACACCCTCAAAACATGCCAAGGCCTCTGCTTGAATCACAAAACCAGCTCTCAAAGGACCACATTTAGCAGCTATACAACGACCATAAGAGTCCTGAGCTACAATCCCAAAATTCGTCTTTCCTGATCCTTGAAAAAATTGCATCAACATTTATTTTAAATTTTTAGTCCATCTCTATTGTGGGGGACTCTAGGAGCTAGAACCCATACGAAATCCCCTAGAGCTAGAAGGGAGCTGTATTGGTGATGATAAAGTTCCCTAATCCACTAGACTCTGTCATTGCCTCCGAACCCTGTTAATGATCAAAGAGGGATTGGGGTTAGTACCATTAAAAACCCAATCATTTCGCATTACCCAAATATTCCACATCAAAAGGGCTGAGTAGGAGACCAATTCATTCTTCCTTTCTTTATCGATAGAACATGTTTTGAACCATTCCTGAATCCATGATTTGAAGTTTTGTTCTTCCCTTTTGCGAGGAAAATCTTAGGCTTAGGTAGCTTCCAAACCAATATCTACTAGCAAAATCACAAGAGTAGAGACAATGGAAGATTGATTCAGCAGAGGAGTGACACAAGGAACAGTCTCAGTAATTTTTCTGCCAACTAGATTTTGTTTTTATCTATATTTACTACTTGCCACATAGATTAGTGTGATAGCTAGCATTCTCAAATATAAAAAAAGGGCATGAGGCGGGCATTGCATGGTTTGTCGTTCTAAATGAAGTTATATTGAATTAGATATCAGGTTAAAAAGACAAACTACAAATATCACCAAAAGCTCTTTCCTTATGTTGGTACGTAGTTGTTGATCATACCATTAGAGTACAGAGGATACCGAATTAATACTTCACGAACGTTCGTGATAAGTTCATAATTCATTGGACATATGCATCGCATAATTGCGATAAACTCATACTCGAAACAGGTCACAATGAACTTTGGCTAGTGTGAACCTATGATTAGCTTTAAACATGCATAAATCTGCGATGAACTTTAGACATATGTAAATATGCGATTAACCTTATACACGCAAAGATTTATGATGAGTTTTGGACACATGCGGAGCTGTGATGAGTTCAAAGCCATTGTAGAACCGCGACGAATGAAGAATCACTGTAGATCGGGAATAAATATTAGTTACACGTGTGTCTTTAAATTACATGTGTGACTGTACACCCTGTGGACTTAGTAAAGGTGCACCCACTAAACAATGTCGTTACTCGTGCCACGTCAGTTAAATGGGATGGAAGGAAGTATCACACGTGGGTTATGAGAATCCTCAAACAAAAGGAAAGTTCATCCCTGGGACACGTGGCGAAACCCTAGCAATGCTCCCTAATAATTGATGGCGAATCCGAGATTCCCTTTCCTAATGGGAATCAAACGCTTTTGGCTCCTTCCTTTTGGGACCCCGGGATCCCTCCTTATAAATAAGGGTCCATCTCATGACGAGGGGATCATCTTATCACTCACACTCACCCTAGCCTTGAGACTACCTCCTGCATCCAGTTTTCCTTTGTTCTTCAAGGAGATCCTCATCATAGCCTCACCACCGCACTTACACCTTTTTTATGTTTTTCCTTTTCTACATGAAAGACATGAACAAACACAAGAAATTTGTGTTAGCCCTTCTCTTGTTTTAGTTATTGACGAGGGGTAATTTGGTCATCCAATGACATCATGACACATGTTATCTCATAATAGCTGGGTGACACCTTGGCACCATGTAAGCAGATAATCTCGGACACTTTATAATTGCATCATTCACAATGGGGCCATCCTAGTAGACCAAATTGCGAACAACTAGATGGAATCTCAGGTCGGTGTGTGTGCAACCAGCTTCCACTGGACTATCCTAGTCCCGTCAAGACGTCAGGTCAGCATGAGAGGCAACCTGCTTCTGCCAACCTAACATGAGTTCAGCTAGCGACATGCTGGATCTCCTTCTTTGAGTGAGTTACCGTCTCCGACTTCTCTAGGATCACGACGCTCAACCGTTAGACCCGTCTACCCGCATCGTTCGCATCGGAGTTGATTGGATGGACCTTATCCCTCTGAGTGTGGTTTCCTGGAAATCTCGGGTGCATTGCGAGAAGCTCTTGGTTTCTTACGCCTATATAAAGGCATCTCATCCCTTAGAGAAGGTACGCGTGATTCATCTTTCAAACACTATAGCCCTTTCGCTATTTAGCTCTCTCTAAAATCTCCAGTTCGCTGACTTAAGCATCGGAGTGCCTACCCTCGGATAAAGTAGCCCGTGCATTCTAATACTGTCTCTTTGCAAGTTGACACGACGAACTAGCTAGCTCAACATCCGAATTGTCCTCCAACAGGGAGCTGTCAGATCGCACACCATCAATTATGATAAGAGTCAAATGCTAAGAGTACAATTCAATATTGGAGAAAATCCACAAAACTACTCAAGGATCACAACAATAGAATACAATCATTTTTCATTTTCCAGGGGCATTGATGAAAATCATGAATAAGACTCTTTCATTATTTGGGCAGGGCTGCAAATGGATGAAAAAGATTTTATTGTGTCTATATGTGTGTGTTTGGTAATAGAAATACAAAACAACTACAAAATCACTTCCCCACAAGAATTGGGTTCTCCGACCAAGGAGGATCATGAGCAACCCACAAGAATTGAAAGCTGCCACCTAATGAGCAACAAGATTAACAGCCTTGCTAATCCATTTGAAGGATATCTTGATGTCAAATAAGATATGTCATAGAGGATAGGCCATACTTATTCACTGTTTTTACTGGGTGATGCATTGCACGTATGCTTCATCAACCTTGTTTCAATTACTTTTTCTTTGATTATTTATCTTTTCCTGGACCTTTTGATATCATTTTCCCTTTCTTAAACTTCTTTGTCTTTTGTTTTAATGGATTGCCATGCACCGCATAAAGTTTACACGAAGAGTAAACCTTGTCAAAAGCGTTTATTGCAATAAGCACTCAAAATAAATGCTCCCAAATATGGGCTAAAAAATATGAAATAACTTTAAGCCTATGAGTTGAGAAAACACTTCCATCTGATTTGACCATACTCCTTATAGAAACAAATCACAGAATGACAATCTAGAAATAGTGATTATAGAGTTGCAAAAACAACATCAACACACTCTACCTCTTTAAGCCTCCTTCTTTTACAAATTTTAAGTGCACTTGCCCAAGTATATATTTGATAGGTAACACAACTATGTTCTTTTGATTCTCAGGTAAGTCGTAAAAAGCTAAAATTTGTTCCATCATGTTTTATAAATTTTTCTCGGATGTGGAAAAAGTTATTTATTCACTTATGAGATGGATAAATTTTACCTATGTAAATGAAGTTCTTTTAAACTTAAAAACCCAATACTTAATGCAAAAATAATAATGTAAAATGGGTCAATAAAAAGAAATAGCCATTGACAAATTTTCCACTTTAGTAGTAGCAAATTAAAAGCAATTAAGTAGATGCTGTATTCCAAAGATCACGTATCCACCATCCAAATCATTTTTCATTTCTCTTCATGGTGTACCTCCTCGGTTTACTATTTTCAAACATAAGATAGTAAAATTGGGATTTCAAAAAATTATATTAGTCACCGGGCATTTGCGATTTGCGAATGGATTGTAATGGCATGTTGGCATGTAAACAGCTGGAAAATATTTAAGTTATGATTCAGTCCACCCCTAGGTGGAGTTAGGATTTTGTAAGGGTGGACTGAATCCTGCCCGTGGATTGATGTTAAATTTATGAGATAGGATGTGGTTTATAAGGGGACTATAAATAAGCTAGGAGAGGGCTGAAAAAAATTTCTGAAGGGATTGCAGTTCAAAAATCCAAATATTTAATCAATTCTCAGAAAACTTAGGCTGTATTTGGTTTGACTCCTTTTTTTTTCCAAGCTGTCCCTTCAAACGAAACACAGCCTTACGGATACTTGGATTTTGCAAATAATATAGGGGAAGTTTTAGTCCATTCGGATTCGGGTGACATTCAAAAACCTCACTCTGTCGAGTGACTCAAGTCTGTCCGACTCTTCTATTCCCTGCAACTAACGATGTTGCTCCTCTCATCGACGAGGCGACGACGAACGATTGTACGAAAATCCTTTCATCGACGCCCCTATCCCAGTCGGCTTTCTCGGTGAATCTCCTTTAACCGTCTTTTCTTCTTAGTCGTCCTCTGCAATTGCTTCCCTTGTATCTGCTTCTCTCTTAAGAGAGATCGTACCAGGACTAAATCCATTTTGCTTGGTCACCTCAATAGACAAGACTTTCCAACAATACACCAGGCACACCCGTAATTCGATGATTTGACTTCCTGAATCACATTCTCAGATTTGCAATTTCTTGTATCTATTATCCAAAAAAAAAGAAGAAAGATTTGCAATTTCCTGAAGAGATTCTTGAGAAAAAGAATCATATGTTATTGCAGAAATTATTGATAAGTCAATGACGGGTTCTAAAAACACCTTTTTTTTTAGGAATTTTGGTAACTCAATGGATTCTCAATACCAAAATACTTCATTGCAGAGGCTTCATCATGTGGAGAAGGTAAGAGAACCTGAAAAACAAGCAAAATAAATGTTTCTATTCAGATGATGCGTATGTTTCACAATAAGGAGGAAATTCACTTTGATTGCTCAGAGGATCGTCAGGGTTTTGGAGCTTGCTGGTAGTGTAACGGACGAGCTTTCAAACTCAACTGGCCCACGGATGGAAATTCTTAACAACCATTGTCGTGAGTTCATGCAGTCAATCATGGTTTGTACTTTATACATTTTTTTTACGAGTATTCCCTTATGCTCTCTGATTTTATGCATTCAATTGACTTGAGGAATTATTGGTTTGCTTGACATGATGGGTTTCTTATTAATAAAAGGATTTTGAGCTTCCATTGGCTTGAGTAGGAGACAAAATTGGGATGTGATTTATGTTATTGATCAAGTTTATGTACTTATAAAAATTGCATATCTATAGTCTGTATGGCTTAAACTCATAAATTCTAATGTTAATTTAGTTTTTATAAGTATGTAAACTCAGTTCCTCCCAACATTTGTACTTCACTCGCCCCCCTCCCAGAAAAGAAGAAATGTAAGCAGTTATCTTCTAATTCTATATCTCAGGCAGCTCGAGAATTTAAGTTGTCGAGCTGGTACTTACATCTTAGGGCTCATTATATCTTTGGGCTGAGAATCAAGTATTGCCCTAGATTTCTAGTCAAGTTGCTTGGTAGGATCAATGCCAACAATAATGATGAAGATGATTATGTTAAGTTTTTCTGACCTGGGGAAGTGGAATTTATTTAGATTTATCTACTTTAAAGTGTTTCAGAGCTTAAAATTTAGATATAGTCATGGAGTTAATGTTGATTGTTATCACAGAGCATACCTTATAGTGCCAGATAATTTCCATTCTTTCTAGTACTTAACTACTAAGCATGGTTATTAAGAGGGAAGTGGTTGGTTGTTGACTTATCACTTAGATTCAAAGGCAATGGGAGTTCAATTCGATTCAATGGATGTTTAAAAATCTTCAATTGGTTAGTGTACATGAATAAATACCCAAACTGTATGATGAATATTAAAATTTTCTCCTTGTACACTCCCTGTTATATTTTCTTTGATAATAGGACTTCGGTTTTATTATTGATAACAGTGGAACTGTTGAATACTGATATGTTTCGTGTGCTTTAGAATTTAGATGCATCCTCAGAGGTTACAGCTGACTACAAGCCATCTGATTTTGCTTTGTGTAACTATATTATGACCTTGTGGTTTGAGGTGTTATTCATTTGTAGAATTACACAACGATTTAATGTGTTCTGAAGGATCATGGCTGATTGGCTGCTATTGTATTTTATTGGATAAGGTCTCATGAATACAAAACCTTTTAAAATCGAATCAGGCATCAAGCTGCTCAAGTCTGGAGCTCACCAATCCGAACAATAGTTAAGCTTGACCCTCTTTGCTGCCTACATACATCTACTTTTTTTTTTTGATAGATAGCATACATCTAATTGCTTGGGCTTTGTTCCAACCCTCATGGTTTTAACCCTATGGCTCTTATTGAACTTCGATTTTTCCAACCATTGGCTTTTGCTGCCAGAATATAAAGATCTAAGCACTTAATACATTATATTTTGCTCTGTTTGTATTGCTTAGGATGCCAAGATCAGGTTTGAAGCTTTGGAAAATTAATCAACTCTTCCTTGAAACATAATATTTGGCTGGACAAAATACAGTCTGTTAAATCTTCTCTTAGTTTCTCTTCTTGTGTTTTTATTCCTAGGACTGTTTAACAGGGCTCGTCACTCTTTATCCCAAATTGCTAAGAACTTTTGATGCTGACTGTGTGTGGATGGGATCCCCCACGCTCTATATTGAACCCTTTGTTTTTTCTTTTTGTTAATAGTATGTTTTGATTTATCAAATATATATATATATATATATATATATATATATATATTTTACATTATGTCAGAACATTCAAGTGACATTGCGGGAAGAAATTAAAAGTGCATGTGAGTATCGCCCATTTGAGAAATGTGATTACAGTTCAAGAATATCCAACGAAATCTGTTTCAAGAAGCTGGAGTATGTCATTGAGCAGTTAGATGGCATGAAACAAAGTATTGGTCAATATTATGGTGCAATGTGATGAGCCAGTCATAAGCACACTTACTGACTGACACAATATCCTTTCAACCTCTTATATACTGTCTGGTTTAGACATCTTTCTCTCTGACTCTCTGTGATCCTGCAAATATACAGATTTAATGCCAATTCGTGCTTTGCTAATTTGTTAGACATGTCCAACAAAGATGTATTGATTGAATACCTTGTTACTCTGGATTTCCTACCAAAAATGATTTATGTATTGAACACTATGGATTGCCAACAAATAATCAAAGATGTATGCACTGATTACTATGATGGATTTGTGCATGGCGGAGTTGTGGGATTCTCAAACTGTTGAATGTAATGTATATATTGCATGTTGGTTAATCTATTTTTAATTTAGGGATGAATACTTTTAACATTCCCTGAGGTGCAATAACAAATTCTACCGGTCTACAACTTTCCCTGAGTTTTCTGGAATTACTTAAACCTCCCTTATTGGATGTTGTGGCACCCCTAAGGTCTCTTTTCCATTAGTTTGCTGAATGCCTTTTTATTAAAAGCACATGTCCTAGAAAACTTCACGAAAATCCAAATATACTCTCAAGTCAAATGATGTTAAATTTCATGAAGTCATATTGTCTCAAAAGCTTTTGATATAGTATTAAAACCTTGTAAATGGATAGATCATCTATAACTTTCCTTTGACTACCAACGCCAACCTCTGGCAACCACAGCTAGCAGTTTGCCTTGCATGACATTCAAAGTTCAAATTGCCAACATGATTGTCGCATTCCAAATTATCATCATTGATGAAGGGATGGGAGATTCATCATATGGATGGCCGAACCCTGTAGGAAGGTTGGGCGAAATTTCAAAAATTTCTTTACTCCCATGTGTGAATCCTATTCCTAGTTTAGAAAACTGCATTTTCAAGGTTCGTTCTTGTAACCAAATCGGACCAAATCTGAAACCAAAATTAGAGAGGGATATACCTGATACGGAGTCCACGCAAAAAGCTTCTCCCAACGTAGGTGTTCACGCCCAAAGAGTGTACCAAATCCTCCCTTCACTGAAGATGACACAACTTAGGATGAGGTAAGTAGTTCTTCACCAAGAACTTGTGATTTTTCAACAAGAATCGAGTGGGGTAGTGAGTATAGATTCAAGATTGTTTCTTCTAGCAAGAAACAATATCAAGATCAAATCTTGATCAGATCCAAGAATTGGAGATTGAACAGGGTAGGGCGGCAAGAGCAAGAAGAAAAAGAACTGAAGGCAAGATCAGTCTGACTGAGTTGTCTTCTCTCTGTGTTGTGTGTCTTTTTCAGGTTCGCCCTGCTCTCTATTTATAGCTTTAAAGAGACAACCTCATAACCTGATTAGGAGTCTCCTCATCCAAATCTTTATTTGGATCTGGACTCTTTAAGTGATAAGGGTAATCCCTTATCTTATTTGTAGTTCAAGATCAACTAATTCCTAATCAAATTAGGAGTTTCCTGATCTAAATTTTTATTTGGATATGAACTCTTTAAGTGGATAAGACTTATCCTCTTATCCTCATCTGTTGATCCAAATCCAGATCCGCCCCTATTTAATTAACCCAATTAACATAGTTCGAAATGGGCTTTAGGCCCATTAAGTTTTCAGGCTCATTTCCCTTTAATGGCTAGCTTGGCTCTCTTTGTATGGCGTGGGACCCTAACATTGATCTACACATCAGCCACATGGTAGCCTCTGTTACAAGGCCTGGCCGAATTCACTGCTGGATACAGTAAACCCTTGAGTCCATCACCATGGGCTCTTAATGAGCCCAACATTTACACTAAATGGTCCTTGGGTCCAACCATCTTATGAAGGCCCAACGATTGTGGGCAGATGCAAGATTAGCCCATCAGGTATAACCCTCAATGGTCTTACACTTAACCTCTCAGCCCTTAATGATAAACACTACCCGACAAGAGAGGACCTCTCCCTCGGCTGCAAGGTGCAGTGCTGCACTCTCTACTCACATGGATATTGGGAATTAAAACCTTTTGCAAACAATTTTGAAACCATAATATATATATACCAAATTTCAAACACATTTGAAATCCATTGCCGACAGTTTAGGTTTCCATTAGAGAGAGTGCATTTTCTCGATCATTCACTTTGTCTGACAAAGGGGCTGATCCTGTCACTATGATCACCCACTCAGATGAATTTTCGGATTATCTCAACATACCCAAGTTTTGACCCCCTCTAAGGATCTCACTGATTGGCATATTAAAGAGCGCCTAATCCAACACCTAGTGTAGTATCATAGTCGAGTTTAGGGGTCAGGTGTAAAATTTCAGTTTTGCCCATCTGTCTCCAAGGTCTAGGGCAATACTGGAATTTTGGTCCGGTTCAGGGTTTCAAGAAAACCCACACTGCATGTACCTCAGGTCTCACTCTGGCAGCTGAGATAAGCCACCCCAACCAACTTGGCGGCATATCAGTGTCAGCCTTAGCAGGATAAATCTCCCCAGATTTATCCAACGACTGTGAAGATTCTAAACTAACACGAGTCTCATATGTGTCCAGTTTAAGGGTATTACACAAAAACACACCACAATAACATGAATCAAATATGTATTTTATTCATTTACAATAAATGTCATAATGTACATCATGTTGACTGGAGCTAAGGGCATATACTGTCTAACAGTTGAAGGGAGTTATGGTGGATTATTTAATTAATTAATTCACAAACAAAATCCTGTTAAAAATTGAAAGAAAACATGCTTTCATAAATCTTTCAAAAATGGCGGGTTTATTGCTATCATCAATTCTTCTTACTTCTTAGACTCCAAGAATCTAAAACCTTTACCAAAGGATGGCATTATTCCCTCAAGACTCATTTCAAATTCAATCCTGGTTTGGAAGTGTCTTTGCCAAAGGAGAAAATGGTGTTTGAGAGACCAGGTCAGATGGTTACATGCATGGTTAGTCATCCGAGACACCAATCTCTTTTAAGTGGTAGAGCATTTCTGTAGGTGTGCCTGTGACGGGTTACTGCTATGGTGGTTTACCATAATGTCACGGTCTGACACAAGCTTAGCTTTGCCTACGCTTGGCGGGCTTACATTAAGGGGCATCACCGTCATTTTCGCTTGTAAGATTTTTGGGAGAATTGATGTTATCTTTAGGCAAACCTCTAAAAGCTTAATGTACTCTTTGAGGAGGGGTGGTCGACCTCCTTGGGTGCCTGACCTTGGCATGTGGGTCTAGCTTAAACATGTCCCTACACCTCGCCAGCCCCTTGCCCAAGCTGATTGAGCTATCCCGTTGCCCATAGTGCACAGGTGTGTTCCGGCCCAGCGGTTGCCTATCATCATCATCGGCACAACAGGTGCCTACATCATTGGCATATAGGAGTCCCTCTCATCGGCGCTCAGTCGCCTCTCATCATGGTTGTCCCCCTTTAGCACGTAAGAGGCGCCTCCCATGGACCGGCTAGAGCCAGTAGAGAGCCCCGACTATAATTTGAATATGGATAGATGACTGTGAGCGGATAATTAAGGGAAAAACAGTATGCAAGATTATATAATATGCACATCCAAGAATAATAATTAATACCAATGCAACAATCAAATTATAAACCCTTGAAGAAATAGAATCTGATTTTCTTTTATGTATACAATAATATTTAATTGGGTTTTAAACTGCGCAAGCAGCACAGAGCAGCTTGGCTCTGGCTCGCTAATGAGACTTTTCCGGGCTTTTCTTTAGAGGCTGGTAATGAGTCTTCTCTTCCTTTGCCTCATCATCCGACTTATCCATTTCATCATCTTTGGCAGTGGGATTTTTTTCATAGTAGGGAACTAGGGATTAGTTTGGCCTTTACATCGGATTTGCTACCCACACCATACCGACTTAGATATTACAGCTGCACATTAGGATTGTCTTCCTTATCATTCATGGAAGGATGTTCCTCATACAAGGCGGTGTTCTGTTGGTTGGGATGTGAGAACAGTTTGTGGGTAGCAGATCCAGAGTGGACTGGGACCATGACGAAGGTGAACCACTGTTGTCAATGGCTCCACCAGAGTGGCAGTCATCTCTTTCATGAGATATAGAGATGTGAATAGACCAGAACTGCCACCACCATGCCCACTTACTTGATTGCTTAAGGAATAAGGCCCATGTTTTCTCATTTTCTTCTATGAGAGAATTGCATTTATTTGAGGACTCAAAATTGTCGATTTGCCCAAGCCCAAATAATGCTTCTTGGAAAATGTATGGTTTGAGCCATCCTCCTGTGTCCTGTCCTCACCTAGCATTATGCAATGCTGTACAACATGCTTTGTTTCTTGTAATTGGTTATCATTATTTCCACCGGGTGAAATAACTCACTCCTTGGAGGCTTGGAAAGGATTTCTGGTTTTTGAGGAATGCAAATTGAGTCAGGAAATGCATTCTTTTAAAATCTAATTCCAATTTAGAACAGAATGATATTTTGATTTAAGTAAATTGATTTTTAAAAAACACAATGTCAAAATATAGGATGTTTTACTTGGATATATTTTATAATGTAAAGTATTTTTATACTAATACATTTGTATGTTTTTAAGGATTCAACATATATAATATACAAAATACACCATTTTTATTTTACAATTTTTAAAAGATCAAGCATTATCATATTCTCCTTTAGTAGATATATCTATTTAACCAATTTTGGCATATCTTTTAGGGTAAATTTCTTAAACTACCCTTATGGTTTAGCTAATTGACTAAGTGTAGCATTACTGTTTGAAAATTGACTAACACTACCCCTACTATTTTTGACAATTGACTAATACTTCCCTTACCATTAGTGCCCCTTAATATTCGTTAACAAAAAGACTAAAAAAATTATTTTGCCCTTTGTTTTTCTTCAAAATTTCACCTCTGCATTACTCACTAAGGCCTGAGGGATTTTCACCGGTGAAGGTCTTGGATTTTGGACTCTTCTCTCAGAGCCACAAACCTCTCTGAAGGGGACTTTTCCCATAGGAAAGTAGTGAGCACGACAGATTGGAGTTCCCCCATTTGCTATTGTCCCTTTCCATTTCCACTCTTCAGTGAATGGAGACTGATGTAAATCAAGATTAAATTTTTGCCATTTAACAGGATTAGGGGAAGAACCAGAAGGTCCTGAACCTACATCATAACCATTATAAGAGACATTCAAATGGTCATTTCTTTCCGCAACGAGTTCATTGAGCGATTAAGGACGCATTGAGTTCATTGAGTTTGGCCAAAATGAAACAACAAAACTCACCTCCCTCTCTCTCCACCACCCCATCGAAATCCCTTTGCCCACTTTTCGTCCAATCTTTTCTCAATATTTTCGTTAATCATTCTTTTGTTTTTCCAGTAACTTTTCAGGAAATTATCGTTGCTTCTCACTGCTGGTAAGATTTTTTTTTTCTCTTGATTGTTATTGGCAGTGATTGTTCCTAGTTTCTCCTTTGGTCTTAGATTTTTTATGTTTTTTTCTACAAAGTGGAATTTGTGATCCTTTGCATCGGACGCTACAACGATCTACCAAATATTTCAATATTCCTGGAAAACAGGGGATGGAGGTTACAATGATTGTTCCTGGTTTCTCCTTTGATTTTAGATTTTTTATTTTTTTACTACAAAGCGGAATTTGTGATCCTATGCATCGGATGCTACAACGATCTATCAAATATTCCAATATTCCCTGAAAACAGGGGATCGGAGGTTACAATGATTTATTTCGCAATGTTAGTGAATGGCTTATCTGAGCAAAATGCAAAAAAATAGCATGAGCTTACCTGTGTCAATGCCAAATAGTTTGACGATGGAGTTGATGTTTCTGGCAGATGAACTTGAGCAGACGACTGGAAATGGGAGAGAAATGCAGTCTAGTGGAAAGGTGTGGCAAAGGGCTGAGTTCAAATAGGGTTGGAAGTTATAACAAGGGCAAATTGGGTATTTTTGGAAGTTATAAAAGTCACGTGATAAACGCTTGAATGGTTTATGGCAGAACATTAACGGTAAGGGAAGTATTAGTCAATTGTCAAAAACAGTAGGGATAGTATTAGTTAATTTTCAAATAGCAAAAGTACACTTAAGTCATTTAGCTAAACCATAAGGGTAGTTTAAGAAATTTACTCTATCTTTTATTTTTTCCAACCACATTGCATACAAACTTTTTCATAATATTAGTATTGCTAATTGATCGCTAAAATTAACAAGTATAAAAAAAATTATGTTTGTTTTCTAACTATATATATCTTAAATCTCCCACCATTTCTTAACATTTTCCAAGTATGTCCCAGTTTTTTATACTTCATATTAACCATTAAAATGTTTTTACACGTTATTTGTAGTTATTTTGAGTCTTGCATTTAATGTTGATGATGCATTTGTGAGATGTTTGTCTGCTTACTTAAGTCCACACCACTGCTGTACTGGTCTTTCTTTAGTTCTTTCCAGAACGTAAATTGGATCTTCTCAGGACTTAATTAGAAGAAATGACAGTTGCCAGTTAATTGCTATGTAGTTGCATGCGTTCACATGCAGGATTCTGACGTTACAGAACATCTTAGATGGATTGCCTAATAGGTGAATATCAGCACATATCTTTTAAACTTTCTCAAAAAGAAAGAAGAAACTAGTTTAGAACCCGGGGGTGTTCGCAACTTCGCATGTATGATTTTGTTTTTCTAAAACAAAACCAGCTACCAGCTTAAGATGCAATAAACATATTTTTTATGAAGTAGCACAGTTAGTTTTGTTTTAGAAAACAAAATCACACGTATTGACACACACCACCCAAGTGAGAATCACACTTTCCAACTTAGAGAAGCTTTGTTATTTCATTAAAATTACAACTAGAGATCAACTTTAATAATCAAGAAACAGCATAAACTTTAAGCAGAATTTACTATGCAAGGATTATATCCACCACTAGCATGACTAAAAGATGACTAGGAGGGAATAAAGCTGATTTCACCCTACTGAAATTTCATCCTCTTCTCTGCATTCTTCTGCACAAGTGTGGTTGAGTGTTTGTTTGATGTCGAAGAAATATTTGATCTACTTTCCTTTCCTTTGCTTTTAACAAAATCTGAGAATGATGGGATTGGAGGTAGCTTTATATCTTGGGAAGGAGTTTCCAACTTTAGATGATTGAAAGAACATTCTGATCCAACAACGCCATCAATTTCTTCTTTACACACTTCGATTGGTCCTTCACCCCCATCCTTGGGGGCTGTCAATGGCAAGGATGGTGATGGAAGGGATTCCATTTTACAAGTGTCATTCTCCTTCATGGAACAATTGCCAAGACGATCCATTAGTTCTGCAGAACTTGCAGTTGATATCCACCTAACCGTACTTGCCACTTGTGAATTATAGAATGTCTTCCCAACCTTTCCATACTTGTAGCAATCACATTCAAGAAAAGCTGCAAACACTTCTAACTCAATACTGCAAAAAACAGGTTACAGTAAAGATCAAATTGGATATTAGTTTTGAGGGTTTCTCACCCTACTCAAATTAATACAAATTACACTTTGCCTATAAATAAAAAATGATATTATGGTGAACCGCCACAAAAAATATGATATTATGCCACTTGATATTCTCCCCGACTTCACCATAAACAAGAGAACATACAGAGGGTTGGGTCTAGTTTGGAATTCCTTGGAGCTACTAGGCCTGTCAATGATACCCGAAGACCGAGGCCCGATCCGACATCTAATTCAATTATCTTGGATCCGGAAGATGCATTTATGTAATCGAATTGGATTTGGATTTGACTCCATCCAATCCGATTAAAATCTGAATCCGATTATATTATAATATATATAGACTTTAATATATAAATTTTATATAATTATATTTAAAATATAAAAAAAATATTTTATATATTATATATGAATTTACATATAATAAATTCAGTATGTTATATTTACACTAATTTATTATACATAAAAGTTGAAAAGTCTATTTTTTTTTTGGTGTTTTAAAAGATTAGAGTGGAGTTGGATTAAATCCAAATTCGATCTGAGTCCGTTAGGATTCGAATTCGAATCTGAGGTCTTCAAATCTGATTGGATTTCGGATCAGATTCAGATGTAAATATTCGATAATTGGACCGGATTCAGATTTTGCTGAATCTGATCTGATTACAGCCTTACTTGGAGCTAGATATCTATGGTACTGTATAGCTCAACTTTAAGGGTGCGACTTCAGCTGGGTTAGCCTGAACCTGACCCAAAAGAGTCAGATTGGGTTGGCTTGGGTTAGGGTTACGGTTGGAAAGTATGAACCTGACTTAACTTCATATTTGTATGTATAAAGTAAGTACTTATGTATATATGCACCATGCAACCATAAATGTATGTATTTATGTTATTATGTATATATATGTATGTAAAGTGTAAACAATTACACATTTTTTTAAAGCATGATAATAATGCTAACACTTGAGTAATCTCAACCCTTGAATCTAGAAAATAAGAACATTTTGCAAAAGGAAGTAGGCCAACCCAAACTGAACCTGAGCCCAACCCAACCCCAAAAGGGCCAAAGCCCCGGTTGCGCTAGGGATAGTGTTGGGAGTTCAACAGCTGAGGTTGGGTTAGGGTTGACCTCAACCCAACTTAACCCGGTTTGACTTAAACCCTACTCAACTTCTATGGTAGGTTAGATGGCTCTGGTGCTCTCTGATTAACAGAGTTTTTATTTTATGATCTCTGCTGCAGGACCAATAAAAGATTTGATTCCCTTGATGGCACAGGCATAATTAATATCTTAATGAAAGTTACCATTTCTTATCCCAAAAAAAGAATATATTGTTTCCACTTTTCAATAACACACCTAGTTTCCTTAGGAGATGGTAAAACAAAGCAGGGATTATTTACAATTCTCAAGAAACAATATCCGTTTAAATCACAAGGATTATAAGATGAAAAGTTCTTACTTGAGTTTGCTAATCTGATTTTGTTTCTGCCTTAGAGCATTGACAAGCCTTCGTTTGCTTGCTTCCCTCAGCACTTCAGATATTGCCTTCTTGTTAACAAGGTTACTATTCTGTAAAAGAATACAAGTACAAGATGGCTAACAACATTAATGCATGCTATCTGTGAATAACAATCATCTTCCCAGCTTGCTTATTCAGCAACCATTAAACATGATATTGAAATACACATGGTGAAATTTAATGGGATTGATGGGTTGAAAACATAGGAGATATTTAAAGGCTTGTTAAATTAACACCATTCATCAATGTCTTAAATGCCATGCTACTTCACCGCCTGTGCAAGCTCGAGTCTGAGAGTGGCCACTTTGTGCAAAAAAGATGCTGGGGGTCAAGTCCATATCCAGTTCATTCCTAAACCCCAGATATCTAGAGCCAATTGGTAATTCCCTTTCAGCATCATCAGCATCATCATATAAGCCTTGTCCCAACTATATGGGGTTGGCTACATGAATCCTGTTTCATTTTTCCATTCTATTGGCCTTTATTAGTGTGCAAAATGCAAAATTAACCACATTCCAAGTGTTCAAAAGCAAACACTTTTTCTTGAAAAGGGGCGCCTTAAAATGGTGTACAGTAAGGACACAAGTTTCCACATCCACATGCATTGACCAAAGTAATCATTTTAATAGGGGTAGAATGATGACCTTCACCATGGGGCAAGTAAATCAATGATCTAAATTAATAAAATCTCTAAGTTCATTGCACCAAGAAACCAAATAATGTCAGTCATTTTCTTATAGAATCATCCAATATCGAGGAATCCATGCTCTTAACAGCCAGAAAATGAAAGGCAGCATACCAGTCTCATAAAGTTTAGCATTAGATTGAAAACTCATAATTGTCAAATCAATGATTAACTGCTAATATTAGAGGGTTAAACCAGGAAAGAGAGCAAAGAAGAATTACCTGCTAAGAACCATGGTGCTCAAAGAATGGGTGTTTCTGTTGATATTGGGGTTGAAAAAGGTAGAGCTTAAAAAGGTCTATTTAAAAGTGATATGGGATTGGCAAGAAGTATCTTGGGTTTTCTCATAAAATGCTCAAGATCCTTCAGTAGTACTGTGATAAATGTCCCATCATTTCCTATGATTATCACAAAAAGTTGATAGCTGAAAAACACATCTGCATGATCATTTTTTCGGATTGGTACTTTTTCAGTGATGGTGATTAACATTTTACAACTTCAAATATTTGTATCCCCTGTTTTAGGAAAGTGTGAGCAGAAAAAGAATGGACCTGCTTGTTAGGGTTTTTTTTCTGATAATACTCCTCTTCTGCACGCTGCAAGAACTCAATTTTCTCATTCAATCCTGATTTTGATGATAAATTTGACTTCTTAGACAAGTCCTCCAAAATCTCCATGCCATCTGTCATTTCAAATGTTTGCCTTATAATTGGACATAATGATGTAAAAAAAGCAATGCTACAAAACGGGAATTTTTTTGGGACCTTGTGAATCATGACTCGTATGCAAATGCAGAGCATGTACAAATCTACTAATCTACTATCTTCATGGTCTAGGAATTTCCTATATATATATACAGGCATAATTATGGTAGGCATTGATTGATGTCAAACAAGAACAAGAAAAGATTGGGTGGATGGATCAGAAAGAATCATGCCTAAATCCAATGTAATGTCAGAATCTGATACAGATTATGCAACTGGCATATGCAACATGTGATCATAATTCATTTGGAAGAATTAAAGCAACCTTGCTGGAAACAAAATGAGACACAAAGGTTTTATGATGTAAGATACATAGGATAATATTGGGGCACAAGTTTTAAGAGAACAATTTTATGATTAGGACTTGGAAGGAAAAGAAAAGTAATTTGATGTGACCTACAGAAAATGTTGGCTAAGAACTTTTTCTTCGATCAGTAACAATAAAAAAAATTATTAAGTCAAATAAACAAAATGTACAAATTTACAAATAGAGGTAGATGACCACTGTCTACCCCAACAGAACATCCATTAAGCTCCCTTTGGAACCTCCCTCCAAAACAAATCCCTCCTATCCTATGCACCCCTTGTCTAGCTGATGCATCAACCATACAATTTGCACTCCTTGGAATCCAATGGAATGTGGCCACCAGGATTTCTGCCAACAATCTAATTTTTCTTTATATGTATCTGTAACTCCAACTTCTCAGAGTTTGATCCTTAACCATCCCACAACCACCTTTGAGTCTCCTTCCATAATAATATTTTTAAAGTTCAATTTCTTTCCCGCCTTAGTCTATGTATCACAGCCATCAGTTCTGCCCTTGTGGAGTTCCCATACACAATAGGTCCTGAAAAATAAGGTCATTACCTTCCCCTCCTCACATTTGAATACCCTTCCAACACCAGACGCCCTTGGATTCCCAAGGCTGCAACCATCAAAGTTCAATTTGGTATAAGGTGGGGCTGGCATCTTCCATATGAATCTAGTTTTCAGCTTTAGAGAAGATGAATTGGCTATAATTAGCCAATTTCTACCCAAACTATCAAAGGAAAAGCACTCAAAAAGCAGAGAAGTTTTGACCCAGTGCACCACCCTCACAAAAATGGTTTCCATTAAGGATTCCTTAGACTGGATTTTATCAAGGAAGAACCTCTTGTTCCTTTCTTCCCAAACAATCCATAAAATAGTGGTTCTCAAGCATCTCCACAAAGCTTTACTTCTCCTCCTAGGCAGTGAAAAGAAAGAATTTAAGATGAGTCTCTTAAGATCTGAATCATCTGATGGCGGATTCCACATGCATCCAAAAAGAGAAAAGAAAGAGATCCAAAAGGCAGCTGCAAAATGATAGGAGATTAGCAAGTACAAGGATGTTTAACGATCAGACCTGCAAAGGAAACACATGTTAGGAGAGATGCAGCAGTAGGTCTTTTTCTTTGAAGGGTATTGCATGGATTAATCTTCTCATGTATTGCATGGATTAACTCTAATGGGTATAGGGCCACCCCAAATAGCCTTGGTCGGGAAGTTGGGACTTGAGATTCAAGGACAGATTAGAAGACAAGGTATTGAAAAAGGAGGCACAAGCCGTCCAAATTCTACAATCTCCCTCCAACAAGTCCAAATGAACCCCCNCCCAAAGGACACAATGAGCAAAGACACCTCTGAGGCCCCTTCTAAAATTAAGATTCCAATCTAACTCATTCTGGGACATGGAAAATCAGTCTGAAGCAAAGGAATTCTTATTAGAAGTAACAAAAAAAAAAAAAAACAACAGAGAAGGGGACTATCTTTAAAGAAACAATTCCCCATTTCCCCACCACAAATTAGTCAAGAATTTGGTTTTGAGTGTACCTCCAGTTGAATGTGTTGAAGAAACTATGTAGGTGTTTGTACCATTGCCATTTATTTATAAAAGTAAATGCCTTGGGTTATGTGAAAGCTACCATTGCAAGAAACACCAAAATGAAGCTTCTTGGAATGCTACCAATTTCCCAAGCATAAACGTTGCCTGAGAAAACGGCAATGATACCAAACATGCCCTAAGAGGACAGAGAAAAAATGGCTTTCCAAGGAGCAACATTAGTAGATTGAGCAGCAGCTAACCCACATCTCAACTATCAGCTGGCAAGCCATGGATGCTCTTAACCACGGGACACCATAATCTATGTGATTCTCTTGGAAATCTCCACACAATTTATCTAAAAGTGCTTTATTTTTAGCTAACAGATTCCTAATGCCAAGCCTTCCATCCACCTTGCTCCTACATATTGTGTCCAATAACCATTTCAGAACCCCTCCAAATTCAGTTCCCTTCTTTAGTTCTCTACCCTAAGAACTTGAAAAAAGCTAAAAGAAATTTCATTACCATCAGATATTGCTTTTATTTGTTTCTCTCTCTATAACTTTCTATATATTGCAAGAATTTCAGCATTAAATTAGCTTCCTAATCACATCATACAGTAATATAGCCCTCGACTAACTCTCATACACCTTCCCTAGACCTGTCCCTAGCCATACAAACCCAAACCTAGAACTGAAACCTTCACAATTATCATTTTCTATTCAGTTTTCCATGATTTTTTTTTTTCAGTCTGACTTGGATCATCAGGCCTACATCAAATTGGTACTAGAGCATCTGATCTTATATCAAATGCATCCCATATATTAAACTTCTAATTTTTTTTTTATCAATAAAAATTTCATTAATTCACCATAAGAATAATTGCAAAAAGGAAGACAAACACACTTATCTTCCAAATACAACTTGGGTCCTCAAGAAAGAAAAGAAAAGAACAGGAAGAAACAATAAAATTACATCTTAGCCCAAAACATTGAATCCTTTTCTACCCCTTGTTTAGCTAATCCATCAGCTAAAGAATTGGCTGATCTTTTAACCCAGCTCATCTTAACTTCCATCTCCCGCACTAGCCACTTAAACTTCCTCCTCTCGTTGCTGTAATTCCATAAGCCACTGTTGTCTTTATTCAGCCACCCTATCACCACCTCCGAATCCCCTTCAATTAGGAGTTTTCTGATATTCATCTCCTTAGCTTTCTGAAGTCCTTCCATAACTGCAAAGATCTCAGCTCTAAGGGAGTCACCCAGCCTGATTGTCCAGGATTCCCCCTACTACTCCCATCAAAGTTTAGTTTTAAGAATCCAGCAGGCGGGGGG